TTTTCAGCCATCTGGACTCAGCTGAGTCACTACAGAGGAAACAATGAGCTCAACACAGAAGGTGAGGAAAATATCACAGTTTCACCAAATAATCAGTCACGTCTAAAGCTCTCATACTCCCAACCTGTTATATGGCTGTGTTGTATATTATGTTGTTTTTAGAGACCACAGCACATGTTAAAATAAGGAAGGTTTATTCATAAAAAATATTTATTAATCAAATAGACAAAAAAAAAATTTCATCACCCCAAAAAATACACATTCAAAGCACCACAACAGCAGCCCGATATCAGACAGAACTGTCACATGATATTAAACAGAAGCTGTCAGCTGAGCTCTGTAGTACAGAAGAGGATTAGGGCCACCGGAAAAAAAATCTGGGAAAAAAGTCAGAATTCTGACTTTTTTCTCATAATTCAGGAAAAGAAGAAAAAAAAAAAAGACATGCCCACTTTTTTTTTCCAGTGGCCCTGTTTATCCTGCACTAACCTGCAGAGGATCTTCATGCAGTCTTTAAATAACACAGTTTGTCTGCCTCAGATTGTTTTGCAGCATGTTTCACAACCTTTCACAAAAGTCTTGCCTCTTTCATCTCTTTTTATGTTTCATACCCTGGTGATTAGTACACGATCAGGATTGTCTTTCATGTGTTTCTTTTCAGGCTCAAATCAGTTTGATGTTTGAAACCAAAAGTAAAAAGTCTGTGTTGAAAATATAATGAGTAGAAAGTTTTTTTTTCTGTGGGGAGTAAAAGTAAGGAAAATAAGAAAAATTATTTTAGAGTGTTTTATTTTTTAACACCAGGTTGGATGTAATGTGTTTCTACTACCAGCAGGTGGGGATAAGAGACCTTTAAGGTGTTTGGTGCCACACTCCACCTTCAGGTTTAAAACTAGTGTTAATGGAGGGAGTTTGAAGGTTGAGTTTGTTCCACGACTGCATTTCACTCACTGCCTCTGTTTGTATCTCTGTCACTGCAGGACCAACATGGAGCGAGAAGTCAGCGCTCTCAGGAGGCCGACAAACCTCACAGAAGAAAGAGAGAGAAAACACACACCTGTGACGAGTGTGGGATGGATTTTACTCTGTATGAACTAAAATGTCATCAGGTCATCCACACTGGAGAGAGACCATTCAGCTGTGACTTGTGTGGAAAGACTTTTTCCTGGAAG